GAGAAAATCAATGATTTTAGCTCACAGACCAAAGTCCATAGAGAAAATCAGTGATTTTAGCTCTCAGACCAAAGTCTATAGAGAAAATCAGTGATTTTAGCTCTCAGACCAAAGTCTATAGAGAAAATCAGTGATTTTAGCTCACAGACCAAAGTCTATAGAGAAAATCAGTGATTTTAGCTCACAGACCAAAGTCTATAGAGAAAATCAGTGATTTTAGCTCACAGACCAAAGTCTATAGAGAAAATCAGTGATTTTAGCTCACAGACCAAAGTCCACAGAGAAAATCAATGATTTTAGCTCTTGTGGAGATAGCAGTTGATGATCATCCAGCAGCCCCTCTAACAAACTCACACCTACCGCTGACGTTATGACATGCTGCCGAGCCCAGAGGCAGTGAAGGCCAGCAAAACTGTACTTTTGTCTCTTTGTGTGACAACAGAGACAGCGTGGACAGTGTCCTCAGTGTTTGTCCATCAATGCGACTTTCAGACTATGACTCAGCTTGTCATCCCCTCCCCTCCCCCTTCATCAATTATTGATGTCCAGGAGATGAGGGAGTGAAGATTATGTTCTCTCTAGTAAATCTTGGACAGGAAGTGGTTTCAGTCTGAAGGACGCTGAGGTTAGTCAGTGGCGCTAATAGAACATGTTGACAGAGGGTGCAGTCTTGCCTCCCTCGCCTCCTCTTGGCAGTTCTTGTGGGACCTTCAGGAACTTGGTGGCTTACAGCTGCCTGTCTTCTTCTGCTGCTGACTTTTCAGCAGACTGCAGGTCTTGTTATTTATTATAAGGGTTCTTTATTTTCTGTCATGCCCCCCCCCCCAGCCCCCCCTTGGGACAGAAACTTTTTCTTGCCCCTCCAGACCCACAACCACCAACTGAAGTACTATTGAGAACATGTATATTTTTCCTATCTGTACAAACCACTGTATGAGTTGCTGCCACCTAGTGACTGGAGGCTTGTTATCATTCAAGCATTACAGCAGTGGTACCCCACCACTCCCCCCCCAGGGGGGGCCCAACCCACTATTTAAGAAGCTCTGCATTATATTGATACATAACATTTGTTTTTCCATCACTGCACATATTTATAGATTATACACTTGATGATTCAATGCAGTATGTAAGACTGCCGTGCACCCTTCTACACTAATTGCCCGTCGGGAAAAATTAAGTTCTTTGTATTCAATTGGCTCACTGGCCATTAGCGACCCTCTGAACTTTGCCTCCTTGCAGGGCAACCGAGTCAGGAGAAAAAGCAGCTTGGTTAAAGAACTAGCAGAGAAGTTAGTGTGATGAACTGGTGCTTATATCATTGACACAGGAAGTGGAAACAGTCCATACGACACAAACCACCATAATGGGCACACAGGTGGGGGCTATTGGGGTTCTGGAGGCACTTACAGCTGTGGAGGCAGCAGCCTTTTTGGATTCCTCTGTGAGCAACTGCAACACCTGCTCCACCCTGTGTTTCTCCTCCTCAGTGATGTAGTCGCTGTCTATAAGGGGGGGAGAGGGGGGGGGGGGGGGGGGGGGGGGGGGGGAGACAAGGTGGGAGAGTGAGAGAGGGAGAGACAAGTTAGTGAGAGTTTTAGTGTGTGTGTGTGTGAGAGAGAGAAAGAGATAAAGAAAAGAGAGAGGCAGATTAAGATTGAGACAGAGACAAAGCCAGAGAGAGAGAGGGAGAGGGAGAGGGAGAGAGAGAGAGAGAGAGAGAGAGAGAGAGAGTTTTGGATCTGGATGAGATGCTTCTACTGAAACCTGATCTGACTGCAGTGGAGGGGCTGGCGGGGGCAAGAGATGGGAGAACAGGAAGAGTCATACAATTAAGAAAGAGGGAGGAAGTTTGTTTTTATCATGGAGTTACTCCGAAGGACAAAATAGGAGGAGGAAAAGAGGAGAAGGAGGAGAAAAGGAGGAGGAGAGGAAGAACAGGAGAGGAGGAGGAAAAGGAACAGAGAAGAAAGAGGAAAAGAGGTGAAAGAAGAGGAGTGGAGAGGAAGAGAAAGAAGAGAGGCAGGGGGAGAAGCTAATTAACCCTTTAATAGACTCCATGACATGTACTAACGCATACTGAGGATACGCAATTGTGTACTACCTACTAACACATACTAAAATACAGACTTGTGTACTACCTATTTGTATATACATTTGTGTATCATCTACTAAAGTAAAAGTAAAACCTCACTTTAGTGAGAGCTGGAGTCAAATGAGAGGTTGAATATTATTGGGTGTTGGCACTGATTGACAGCCCAACTGTCCTGTGACTGAAATACATCCTGGTCAATAAGCAATGGCACTGCCGGTTATGCTGTCCCTGTGTAAACTTTGTGGTTCAAACTTGGAGATATCTTAGTTTCAAATAATTGGTTTGGATCTGTGGTGAAAACTATTTAACCTTAACTAACGTTTGCTAGACCTGAGCTGAAGTCCAGCTTTTTTTTTTTTTTTTTGCAAATCAACAGCACAAATGACGAGGACAAAGCCTGTGACAGAACTCAGTGTGACCTCAACAAATACAGAGACGTTAAATCTGCAGATGATGCTGTGCCAGGTGGCCATGGAAACATCATGTGTTGCCACGACAACAGAGGAGGTCGGCCAGGCGATCCCGTGGTGGTGTGACAAGCACACATGCACACATACACTATACGCAGGGGTCTTGATTTTTTACCCTGGTTCTAATCCAGTCCTGGAACCCAACTGTGGTGTTTGGTCTTTTTCATCACTTTCTTAAGAAAAACATTTGCGACCCAGCTGCTGCATGGTCAACTTTGTCCACATTTTTGCATATTGTTGAGTGTTTTACTCACACGCCTGCAGGGAGAAGTGTTTGCCCTCTGATTGTCCGCTGCTTCCTGAGGTAAGAGGAAGGGGAGGAGCCACGGATGAACTCAAGGCTCCAACCACATGACGAGTTGAAGACATGGAGGAGGAGGAGCCAGGAGGCTCTGCACCCTCTCCTAACAGGTACTGGATCGAATGCAACTGGAAGCAGGGATCGGCGAGAAGGACGGAAGCAGCTGGAGACGTTCTGTAAAACAGGAGGGAGGGGGGAAAAAAACGTATTTTTTTTTTCTCCATCGTACAGAGACGATGGCTGATGCTAACGCGACGGCTGATGCTAATATGACGAACAATGCCAATGCGACAACTGATGCCAACACAAGGACAGAAAATGACAAAATGACCGATGCTAACACAATGACTGATGCTAACGTAGTGACAAATATTAACACAATGACTTATGCTAACACAGTAGCCGATGTTAACACTGATGCTTACATTACTACTGATGCTAACAGGATGACTGATACCAAAATGACGACTGATTGCAACATGATGACTGATGCTAACAATCACTGACATACATTATTCACTAACACTGGTGATAAGGCATTTAGTAAAGCTATCTCTATTGATGTAATAGCACACTAACGCTAATCTTTTGTAATTGATTTTTTTTTAAACTAAGGTTTACTAACTCTCAGCTAATTTTTTGGGATTCAAATTCAAAGTGTTGAATTTTCAAGACATTTAACACCTACCGAATGACTGACGATCCTTTTACTGACGCTAGTCAAATTGCTGTCAATAACGCAGTTATGATACCTACGTTCAAATTTGCGTAGTATAAGATATATAAAGTATTTGATGCTAAACAGGCACTGGTACACATGAATGGTCATTAACATGTTTACATCATCTACTGCTAACACACATTCACGCTAGTGTGTGTGTGTGTGTGTGTGTGTAAGTAGGAAAAGGAGACATGTGAGAGCCTAATAGAAATAGATAAGTGATTCGAGCAGTGACAAGTCAGACAGGGGGAGGGGTCTGAGGGGATGGGTGCTAGGAGAGACGAGGTAGAAGAGAGAGGCACGGGAGAAGGAGGAGCTGGGAAAGCACAAGAAGAGACAGACACTGATCAGAACCAAAAACACACACGCAGACATCTCAGCTGACTGCTCACGTCTGAACCCGAACTTTCCTCCCAATGTTTGCTATCGGCGTTTGCTGTGAGGAGACAAAAGGAGGAGCAGGAGGAGGCAAAGGAGGGAGATTGGTAGAGAGAGATGCAGAGGAGGAGCTGAAGGTTTGATGTTTGGCGTCTGAGTCGCCCTCCCTCACTGCTGTACGACCAACAGAGAAACCAATAGTGTGTGTGCGTGAGAGAGAGAGAGACAGACAGAGAGAGAGAGAGATCAGATACACAGACATCCTCGCTGGTCGTTCTGTTTTTTTTTTTGCGCTGGATTCTAACTGAAAATCAAGAAACCATTAAATTGGAGGAGGCTGCAGACTGACAGGAGGCGCTGCTGAGTGAAGATAACGGAAATGGACTTTTGCTGTCTGTGGTGGAAAATTAAATAGAGTGATGGAGATGTAGAAAAGGGCTGGGCTGAGAAGACGAGAGATGAACGGAGAAAGATTAGTTTTAGGAACGCCGAGGAGCATCACCATCATCACCACTGCTGCTGACACCAGCCTCTGGACTACAGTTTCAAGTGCGATCATGTCAGTATGAAGAAGCAAAAACAAGAAGTGAGGAATTGTCCACTAAGCTTTACCTAGTGCATGAAATCATTTAGTCAAAGCTGATGTCCACAGTCTTATCCTGGCGTTATGAATCTAGTTGGTGGTAGTGTTGGTTTCCCACAGGGCGTGGTAGGACCGGCAGTAACAACAGTGCTGTTTTTTCTTCAGCTGCTTCGACCGACCCAAATCAATGGATCCATCTGCTTCTCCCAAACCCCGTCTGCTGAGATCCAGTGTCTCTGTGCCTCAGACCTTGTCAGTTGTGCCGCCCAGGGTCTGGAGCAGGTCCCCCAGGCGATACCTTTGTTTGCAGTGATCCTGGACCTCAGTCACAACCGCATTGATCAGCTGAAGGGCGGTGCCTTTGAAGGACTCTTTCGACTGGAAACCCTAAGGTTGGCTCACAACCAGTTGACCACAATTCAGCCCGGGGCATTCCAGAACACCTCCGGTGAGCTGGTGCGACACCTCGACTTGTCGTTCAACCGTCTTCGGGTTGTGGAGACTCACTATTTTCAGGAGCTGCCTGGATTGGAGGAGCTGCTGCTCTTTAACAATCAAATTGTGCAGGTGGAGAGCAGGGCACTCTCTGGACTGGGGAACCTCCAAAAGGCCTATCTCAGTCACAACCGCCTGACTCACTTCCCATTTTTCTCCATCCAAGAGCACAGCCACCCATACCTTATCACAATGGACCTGTCCTCCAACCGCCTGCTAAAACTGCCCCTGGAGGACATTTTAAATTTACCCCTCCAGCTCCAGAAAGGACTCTACCTTCACAACAACTCACTGGAGTGCGAGTGCTCCATGTATGGACTGTTTCGACACTGGGAACAGCGAGGATACGCCTCGGTCAAGCACTTCAGGCAAGAGCACACTTGTCGGGTCTATGGGATGGAGAAACGCACTGTGCGTTTCTTCCAGAACCACAGCTACTTTGACAAATGCAACATGACCACAGTGGGTTCGGCAATTAACGGGGAGACTCATAGCATATCTGTAAAGGTGGGCGGGGGGGCCCTGCTGCACTGCATGACGTCTCTCGTTGGCACCAGTGTCACCTTTCTCTGGGTATCACCAAACCGGGAGTATGTGGCACCACCAGGCAACAATGGTTCCCTGAAGATGTTCACCAACGGGAGCCTGGAGATCATAAAGGCACATGCGAAAGACTCTGGCATCTACTGGTGCATGGCCCTGGATCAGCGTCATCAGCGAAATGACACGTGCGAGGTCAACGTAACAGTGGAGTTACATCACCATGGCCAGTCCCATGGGTCTTTTAACACTGGATTCACTACTCTTCTGGGCTGCGTGGTGAGCCTGGTTCTGGTCCTCATGTACCTCTATCTGACACCATGTCACTGCCCACCCTTCAGCAGGGAATCTTCTGTACCTGACGGCAGTAAAGGGAATGAAGGCGGAGCAGGAAGCGCCAAGTCTTCTATCCTAATCCCAACCCCTCCAGCCACTACTGAGGGCCCTGGACGCAAGGTCAGTACCAACAAGCATGTGGTATTTCTGGAGCCAATCAGAGAGCAGAAGAATGGCGGACTGAGGGAGGGGCCATGTTCTGGGGTGAATCAAGGACACGTCGTGCTGGGTTCAGTGCTAGAATCTAAGCAGCACCTGAAGATCCACATCCGAAAGGCAGGGGACACTGAATCCATGGTGTCGGTTTTTTCAGACACACCCATCATGTTACGTAGCAAGACTGACAGGTTCTAGTGTCCGACACTGATTATAAGCCGCCCCCCGCCCCCCTTCCTCTTCATCTCAACCTTTCCTAACATGAAACCATGGAATACTGCCATCGCCGGCAGACCCATCTTTGCGCACATTAACTTAAGAGCCACGAACCACTGCACTGTGAGTGGATAGGTCAGAGTAGTACTCATAAAGTAAGTACACCACCCACAGGTTTGTATGAGACGTATATAAAAAAAAGGAGTTTATAAAAACATGGGCTAAATTATTAACTGCTATACTCAACGTGGTCCCTTTAAGCACGGTTTGTACCTTTAATGCTGTGCTCACATGTATGAGGTAGAGGCCCTAGCTCAGGTGTTATGTCATTATGTATTGTTCCAAATGCAATATTTTCTTTGCTGAAGATGCAGTTTTGTAAATAGTTTCTTAAAGAATACTATTCACATTTATAATTGGGTTATCTTGAGGTTATCTCTACACGTAGAAGCAGGTTTCTAGAAGACATAGCAAGCAATGTATTTTAAGTGTTACAATCTAATTCATGGTCGGCTAATCATCACATCAAGCTCATGATCACAAGCAAGGTTTATTTTTCAAAACTTGGAAACGGTGCAAAAGGTTAACTCTCCCACAAGCCTTTGGCCTAAACATTACAACATTAGAACCATCCCTGATTCGGCTAACTGATGTGTAAATATTTCTAGCTAGAAATGCTGAGCTAATACTGTTATTATCTCACATGCTAACATAGCTCACAGAGCGTTGAACCGGTGTACTCGTGTAATGTTTTTCAAAGATTAGCATGTTCAGAAGCATCTTTTAATGTGTGGCTTCAGTCACAAGTGTGACATTATGACTGGGTACATCTTTAGAGGTCAGTGAAGAAAGTTTGACGGGTTTAGAGACAGAAATATTTTCGGTGGGTTGAAGAGAGAACACGGTGTCAACAGCAGAACTAAAAAATAACTTTTGGCAATAAATTGATAAATGAATAAAAAATACTTATTCTGTGTTTTTACATACCAAAAATACCAAAATATAGCCCATTCCGCATTGATCTCTATCTTAATAGATACGTTTATAACCAACCAATAGCACTAAGGGCCTGGTACAGCTGTACATTATTTGCCCCCCAATCCTAACTTTACAGAAATAATTGAAAGATGTTACATGAGCCTATTCAGTTCATACAGCTTAGAAAGAGTCATGACGACCACCACAAACTGTCTAGAGAAAACTGCTAAAGGTTAGCTCCACCAGCTAGCGCGTGAACTGTGCCACTACTTTCACAGCAATAAATACTAACTATTAGTGCTGGGTATTGCTAAGAATCTCAATAATTTTGATTTGCTTTGATATCGATTTAGTGTCAAGTAGAAATAATACAAATAAGTAATTAGAACACCATTCATTTTAAAATAATTATTTATTTAGTTCAATACCCATATAATCAACCACAAGTCATGTGAACACTGTTCATATCTTCACAATAGAACATCTGAAAATAAAGCATCAGCAATGACAATACTAGTACTGAAGATGGTATAAAAAGAATCACCCGCACTAGCCAGCGGTGTTGTGGTGAAAAGTACTTGATAATTAGCTAGTACTTATAGCTTGTGGACACCGAACGACATTGTCAGGATGCAATCAGAATAAGAATAAGAGCATCTTAACTACCGACACACCACTCATCACTGGACCAACACACTGCCAACTATCACCGTAGCAGCAAGCTCCTCCCCACTGCACTGAGACTCTTTCGGTGACCCCTCTCCAGCAGCAGGGGGCACTGTTCTTCACTAAACTTTCCTTTCAATATTTTTACCCACCCCCAACTATTGTTGTCTGCTGATAAGCTTGAATATTAACTTCAGATAAAAGTTTCCAGCATGTGTGAAAAAAACTGAAGATGACAGAAACAAATAGCAAAAAAAAAAAACCACACCCACCCCAAGGTGGATATATTCTTAGCACCAGAGCCTCAAACATGTGAGCGCAGCCAAACAAAGTTTGGCTAAAGAGGTCTTCAACCCTCTCTCAGAGAACACTGTAGCCCTTTAGCACCTCATGTTGGATCTGTTTTGTAGTTTACCTTGTTCTCTAGCCCGTGAAATGTCACGGGTTGTGACAGTTGTTGAATAAAGGTATGTGGGAATCCTGTTTCATTGTCCTCTTCACATCATGTTCTCACCCTTTGTGTGACCCTCCCCCTTCTAATTGACTGGACAGCAGTGGAACGCTAACTTTAACCCTAGAGTGCGAGTCGCGTGTTTTTACTGTTGTTCTTTTGCATGCACAGTTAAAGGTTGATTGTCCATTAGCACCAACCAGCAACAGACAAGAGTTTGTCTCATTACATTTACCGTTTTTACCATTTTTTTAAAAAAATATTTGGTAATGTCAGTGATCACTGCCAATCAGAAAATGTTGCTCTAAATATACTGACCTGAGTTAGCCTGTCTAGCTAATGTTCCCAAGATGATTACTTCTTGCTTACTTTTTCTGTTTTTGAACAGAATCCATATTTGCCTACACTATATAAGCTCAACTGGTTTGATTAGCAAGTAGCCAGTGTGTTTCCAAAATGTTTTTAAAATAGTGAGATATTTATCAGCAACATTAAGTTATCTCAAGTTACCCTGGGTTGTTGTTGGGGGCAATTTATTCAGTTGTAAGCCTCGCCCTTGTCTTCATCCGAGGACTGAACTGGACTGAACGTTGTTCAGAAAAAAAAAAAACCTGGTCAATATTTAATGATCTCTGCTCTCCATTATGATACATATACATGTATACTCGCTATCTCGTTCACACACACACACACTTCCCTGTAGGTAGACTTGGTTCTGTGTGGGTCTGTTCTAGATCACTGAGACACCTTACTCTGCTCATGACGTTTATTACCTGCTGACTAAACTAACAGGACAACTAGCAGTTAGCAGCTACAGGCTAAAAGAGAGCTGTAGAAGTGTGCCGCACTTAGTAGTTAGCCAACAAAGGCTAAACATAATCAGAAGGTTTGATTGTCTGATTGTCTGAAAATTTGTCTCAAATTTGGACACATTTTCTGTAGTAGTAGTGACCCAGCAGTGTACAGCTAAAATCACCCATTTTCTCTATGGACCTTTGTGTTGGGGAGTCAGCAGTTAAAAATCATGTTTCCTTCCATAACGTTGTTCCGATCCAAAAATAGTTGCATCAAAGGCAACTGGATGGATAGGGTTTTTTTTTTTTAAGGCGTTTCAGCTCTGACTACTGGGAAATTCAGTCAATTCAAATGTAGTCAGTCAGAACTGAAGAAGCCTCTTGGATGAGAGGTGAAACGTCTTAAAAAAAAACCCTACTCCGTCCAGTTGCCTTTGATGTAAAATATTTTTGGATTAAATGACCTGGATGACTGAGAACCTACATAGACATGTTGTTCCGATGTCTCACCCAAAGCTGTCTCTATGCCTCACCTCGTCAGCAACCTTTCACCTCATCTCTTTTCGATCAAAATGTCTTCACTCCAATGTAATCTGCTCAGTCGTTTCCATGGTAACACAAGAAGTGAATCACTGCAAATCTATCAAAGCTGCCAGTGTACATATACGCACACAATTTTCCTCTACATCACTGGCTTTATTGTGGTGGAGGATGTGACAGGAAGGTAGCTGGAGGAGCATTTGACTTTTATTTATACATGAGGTCGGAGCATAAACACCGCCTGTAAACGAAGGTGGAGTGATTTGTCAGGTGACGGAGCTGCAGTAGACGAGCAGGTCGGGACAATCAGATGTGCAAGAATCTGAGCCAAATATAAATAAATGTATATATAAATAAAGTGAACATATTACAACCGCACACAACCAAATGTAACCTCTGCTTTTAACCCATCACCAAAGTGAACAGTGGGACAACTGAGCACCTCAGTGGTAACTTGGCAGCTGGTGGACTCAAACCTGAAGCCTTCCAGACCCAATTCTGCTTCCTTAACCACTAAGCCACCACTGCCCCAACACAAAGAAAATTGAGTCAAGAAAAGAAAAAAAAGAGCCAGACAGAATTACAGCTGCAGTTCACTGAAAAGCCACTTGAGGCTGTGTGTGCAGAAGTGTTTCCTTCACACTTTCTTTGCCGGAACACAAAACTCCATAGCAGTAAATCAAAATTAAGACAGGGGTATAGAAGACAACTCCTTCCTATACACACTATACAGATTCCAGGGTTCTGCCTCAGCACCTTCACAGGCCACTATCTCTGCAGCACCGACAGAGTCAAAGCTACAACAGGATCCTCCGAGTCAAAGGTTGGAGGGAATCAAAATCAACATGGAGTTTAACCCCAGATATTTGAAGACCATAAGGTTTCTATTCCATCTTTCTCCCATTGACCAGAGAAACCAAGGAGTTGATCACTCCCCTTTGGTCACAGCCAAAGTACAGTACATTCAGGAGAGTGTACTATTGGGTAAGTCTCAGTCAAGATCCACAGAGGCCACATCTGGCTCGAGTGGGAATTGGCCATTGACAACAAGGTGCATCAAAAAAAAAAAAGTCAGCAGTTCAAACTCACCCTTGTCTGTCTCCATCCAATAGAATCTGAACCAGGATTCCTGTGACTGCCACCAGAATGGGGTAGTGGTCCACACTTTCCAGACCTGACACACAGACAAACACAAACACAAACACATTCAGTTATTACGTACACTAAAGTCAGACTTGTGTGTGTATGTGTGTGTGTGTATGTGTGTACCTGGTAGTCTCAGGTTGACCACACGGTCAAACAGATTCTTCTCAGCTGTGACTCTGTTCAACACCTGGTTCAGAAGCTGCACAAACATAACAACAGAAGGAACATTTACACATGAAGCCCCGCTTAACGTTGGTAACAGAAGCTCTGAAGGACAAACACGATCAGCTGCACGATCAGGATCTCAGTGACTGGACAAGTGATCATCTGACTGGAGCTGATAGAACAACTAAGTGGAGCTGGTGGAACAGCTGATTGGAGCAGACGGAACAACTGACTGGAGCTAGTGGGAAAAACTGAGTGGAGCTGGTGAAACAACTGCCTGGACAACTGAGTGGAGCTGACAGAACAACTGACTGGTGATGACAGAACAACTGACTGGACAACTGGGTGTAGCTGACAGAACAACTGCCTGGACAACTGACTGGTGATGACAGAACAACTGACTGGACAACTGAGTGGTGATGACAGAACAACTGACTGGAGCTAGTGGCAAAACAGAGTGGAGCTGGTGAAACAACTAACTGGACAACTGAGTGTAGCTGACAAAACAACTGACTGGACAACTGAGTGGAGCTGACAGAACAACTGACAGGAGTTGATGTGAACAACTGACTGCTGTATTCTTTCCATTAGAAACAGATATGACAGTAATGTATTTGAGAGTCATAAAGACATTGTTAAACGTGTGCGTCTGTGTCGATAGACCTCTGTCAATTACCGTAATTCCCGGACTATAAGCCTCTACTTTTTTCACAAGCTTTGCACCCTGCAGCTTTAAACATGATGTGACTAATTTATGGATTTTTACTGGCTAACAAAGTTCATACCGCTAGTGATCAATGACTTTTCTGGTAGGCTACTGTGTGTTATACTTGTAATGTATGTGCGCGCAAGAGAGAACGGTAGCGTAAGCTAAGAGCAGTTTGAGCCCTGTCATGTTGAAGCGCGAGTTGGTTATACAGGAGCTGTTAAAACACTGTTTCTGTTCTTTTGTGCTCGGACAAGCATAAAGTGAACGGAGTTAGCCCCGGAGCTAATGTTAGCTTTGGCCCTGGAGCAGATCACTAAGTCTCCCCTGTGAATTCCAACTACGGTCGGGGCGCCGAGGCAGGAAAGAGCTAACGTGTACCCAGCCGTGTTACAGGCACTGTTCGGAAAAAAGCACTTTTAATTAAAAGTGAGGAAAAAAATCTTACTGTGTAACATCTTTCTGTGTAAATATCCTAATACACTTGAATACACTACAAAGACAAAACATTTAATGTTCAAACTGGTAAACGTTTTTTTTTTTTTTTTTTGCAAATATTACCTCATTTGGAATTTGATGCCTGCTCCAAAACCGGTATGTACCTTTCAGCATTAATGGTGCCTTCACGGATATGTAAGTTACCCATACCATTGGCACTAACACTCCCCCATACCATCACAGATGCTGGCTTTTGAACTTTGCGTCGATAAACAGTTCGGATGGTTCTCTTCCTCTTTGGCCTGGAGGACACGATGTCCACAATTTCCAAAAATTTAAAAATGTGGACTCGTCGGAACACAGAACACTTTTCCACTTTGCATCAGTTCATCTTAGATGAGTATAGGCCCGGAGAAGCCAGCCACGTTTTGCTTTGCATAGTAGTAGTTTTAACTTGCACTTACAGATATAGCGACGCACTGTATTTACTGACAGTGGTTTCAAGTGTTCCTGAGCCCATGTGGTGATATCCTTTACACATTTATGTTGCTTCTTGATGCAGTGCCGTCTGAGGGATCCAAGGTCAAAAGCATTCAATGTTGCTTTTCGGCCTTGCCACTTACGTGGAGTGATGTCTCCAGATTCTCTTGAACCCTTTGATTATACTATGAACCGTAGAATAATCCGTGACAGTAGGGTGTCAGCTAAGGTCAAGAGAAAGGTTTAACAGGACGGTGGTGAGACCAGCCATGATGTATGGTTTAGAGACAGTAACAATAGGCAGAAGACAGGGGGCAGGAGCTGGAGGTGAAGTTAAAGATGCTAAGATTCTCTTTAGGAGTGACAAGAATGGACAGGATCAGGAATGAGGTCATTAGAGGGACAAGCTAGAGAAGCCAGATTGACATGTTTTGGACATGTGCAGAGGAGGGACAGTGGATACAGTGGTAGAAGGATGTTAGAGATGGAGCTACGAGGTAGGAGACAAAAAGGAAAGGCCCAAGAGGAGATTTATGGATACAGTAAGGGAGGACATGCAGATAGTTGGAGTCAGAGTAGAAGATGCAGAGAACAGGAAGAGATGGAAAACGTTGATTCGCTGTGGCAATCCCTGAAAAAAAGGGACAAGCCGAAAAGGAAAAGAAGATGATGAAATCCCTAAATTCCTTGCACTTGTACGGTGAGAAACGTTGTTCTTAAACTGTTTGACTATTTGTTTATGCAGTTGTTCACAAAGTGGTGAACCTTGCCCCATCCTCGCTTGTGAATGACTGAACAGTTCAAGGAAGCTCCTTTTATACCCAGTCATGGCACCTACCTGTTCCCAAATCCCAAACTTTCTCAGTTTTTTTTTGCCACCTTTTCCAGCTTTTTTTGGAACGTGTTGCAGGCATCAAATTCCAAATGAGCTTATATTTGCAAAAAAAAAAAAAAAAAAACAGTTTACCAGTTTGAACGTTAAATATGTTGTCCTTGTAGTGTATTCGATTGAATATAGGTTGAAAATGCAAATCATTGTATTCTGTTTTGGTTGCAGCTTATATTCAGGTGCGCTCAAAAGTCTGGAAATGATGGTGAATGACTTGTCCACTTCAACTCTATTGTCAGATTAGTCACGGTGAAAAGAAATCAGATGTAATAATCCGGGGCCGTGTGGTTTGGGATATGTGCTCTACAGTGTAGCTGAACAGAGACAGAGAGGTGTGTGGGGGCGGAGCCTGATTATTCACCTGGGCCAATCGTCTGAGAAGCAGCTCAGCAGAGGGGCGGGACCAGTCCAGAAAAATCTCAGGAACCAAGGTAACAGTCATTTCCAGCACTCGCAGCAGACTCACAGAGAGGTCGAAACAGGTGGCACACACCTGAAACCAAGTGTCTGATGTTATCAGACAGATTGTGACTTTTCCATTCTCACTTTTCTCTTTTGTCAGTATTTTAAAGGAAACGGTACCTTCAGCTGACGAGCATCCACAAAGTTCCTTTCTGGACGTTCTGCTGCCTGTTGGATCTGGAGGACAGAGAAGGAAAGAGGGATTGAGGACAAGAGAAGTGAGGAGAGAGGCTAAGAAGAGGGAGCCATGAGGAGTATTAAGAGGACGGTAGATGTGAACGCGTCCTCCACAGGTTTTTCAAACTACTGTATGTTAGCATGTGTGTATGTATACCTCCTGGATCATGCCTATGAACTCAGAAAAGGCCCAGTTTAGCTGGTTGAGGACACTGTTAAGAAACGAAGCAGCCATTTCTTTGTCCGTGTTCAGCAGCTCCGCCATGTGTCTCTGCAGCAGCAATGAGGGACACGGCTCTGGACCAATCACAGTAGAGCAGTAGATATGTCAAAACCCACAACCTTAGTCCATATAGAAAATAAATTGTGAGGGAGGGGGGGAAATCACTGAAGCCAGAAGTTGGACAGAGAGCAGACAAACATACTCTGCAGGCTTGGCAGGTTCATGTCTTCAGGTTTGGTTTTCAGCAGGGTGGGAAGTCGAGTGTATCTGTATCCAAAACCACAACCCTGACAACACACACACAC